TTGAAACCAAAAAATTGGGCCCCGGGCCCAATGTTGGGCCCTACAATGAAAAAAGTAGTTTTCTTAAATGAGACCACTAATTTTGAATATCAAATTCGTAATCCCCATGAAATTCTGCGTTCAGACATGTGGTATAAGTGCCCAAAATATTGGGCCCAATCCAAGATATCGGGCCCAACATTTTTCGACAAACAAAAAAAAATTTTTTAAATCATCTTTGGGGGTTTTTGGGGTCACAGGATTACAAAATTCAAAGCTACTTTTCAAATTGGGCACAGAGCCCAATGTAGTATTCCGCGGCCCAATGTAAGGCCCACAGTAAAAAAATTAGTTGTCTAAAATAAAACCCACTAATTTTTAGTATCCATTTCGTAATCGTCATGAAATGGATACTAAAAATTAGTGGTCTCATTTAAGAAAACTACTTTTTTCATTGTAGGGCCTTACATTGGGCCGCGGAATCCTACATTGGGCTCTGTGCCCAATTTGAAAAGTAGCTTTGAATTTTGTAATCCTGTGACCCCAAAAATCCCCAAAGATACGATTTAAAAAATTTTTTTTTGTTTGTCGAAAAATGTTGGGCCCGATATCTTGGATTGGGCCCAATATTTTGGGCACTTATACCACATGTCTGAACGCAGAATTTCATGGGGATTACGAATTTGATATTCAAAATTAGTGGTCTCATTTAAGAAAACTACTTTTTTCATTGTAGGGCCCAACATTGGGTCCGGGGCCCAATTTTTTGGTTTCAACAATGTAGATCTTTTTGTTTGGAACAACTTTTGTATTGAACATTTTTCACGAAAATTCGTACTTTTCGAGATATTTGCAAGTTTCCATACTTTTGGAACACCCTGTATATGATTCCATATAGGTTCCTTTATAAAAACCGTTATGAAATCCTAGGTCCACATAGGAATCCACATACAATTCCATGTAAAATCATATATGAAATTCGGACACAATTTGGTGTATGATTTCATGTAGGAATTTCTGATGTTGTTTCTACATTGAAATCTATGCAAAACCTCAAATTTTTTGTAGCTTCCAGTAAACAGTTACCAACGAGTTTTAAAAAAATTTCTAATTCGAGTAATTTTAAAATAAAATAATTTTATTACAATTCCATTATTTCTATGTGTGATATAATCTGATTTATAAATAGTAATATTTAATGTTATACTTACAGTGAAACCCACGCGTATATCGGATTTCAAAAGACCGGAAAAAAACCCGATGTAAGCGGGAATCCGAATTATGCGGGTCCGATATACTTGGGTTTCACTGTATATTGTATTTGAATAATGTTTTCAAAAATATGTAAAATTACCCTAATTATTAGAATTTCTATATAATTTACACAATAGTGGAGAAAACTATGTATTTGAATTTGCATAATATGCATCAATTATGAATTGATTTGAAAAATTAGTTCGTTAGCTTGCATTTGTAAAATATGAAACAAATATTATTCACCTTACAAACATGAATTAATTATTACATGGGACTGTGGCCTATGATATACCTACATAATACATATTTGCCTGGACGAACATACATGGTGGCTTTAGGCTAACCAGCTTTGAGCCCTTCTCGTTACTCTGTTGCTTTAACGATAGTGGTGTTCGGTAAATGATTAACTCTAGAACCAACAAGACTGTCATAGCTTAGCTTCAAATTTACCAATAAATCAAAATTCAAAAATTTATTGTATATTGCCAAATCAGACACCCATTTGCAATTGCATCTCCGATTTTTTTGAAACTTTTTTTTCTTTTAGTACTAATGAAGACTAACTTTCATGCACTGTAAAAAATTTAAGGAGTTAACAGCACTAGGAGTTGGGAGTTCGATTTTTCGAGTTAAAAATCAACTCGAAAAAGGAATTAACCAATAGTGGAAGGGAGTTCAGGTTAGGGAGTACAGTATCAACTCCCTTTTGAGTTATTTTATAATGGAGGATCATATTCTTCAACTCGTGTAAGGAGTTAAAGTTGAACTCCCTAATCTGAACTCTCTTTGCTTTAACTCCCCAATGGGTGAGACTTTTATAGCATCCCCTGGAGAGTTGAAATTCAACTCCTTTTTTTTACAGTGTGATTTTCCAATTTTTTTAGCAAGCCATTTACGACGGGTTGAGACAAGTCACACTCAGAAAGCCTTCCCAGGAAAGTCCTCCCAAATAAAGCCATTCCAGGGACATATATCTCCAATAAAAAAGTCACGCATGGTCATCTATTCCCACAATGACAAGTCAACTAATGGGCAGGTCTTCCCATCAAACAGGTCATCCCGGGGACATCTCTCCCAAAATAACAATTTTTACAGTAAGAATTAAAAAAAGGACAAGACCTCCCGGGACATCTCTCCCCAATTAAAAGCACTTTAAATAAAGCGTGGTAAAAACGGACAAGTCCTCCCAGATCATCTTTCACCAATTAAAAAAATAAGTACGAGAAACAGGCGCAAAGCGCCTACATCTTAAGGTTTCGTGGCTTCTATTGGGTCAGTTGTAATATGCGTAAGCCGTAAGACTTATGCTTAAGTCAATAGCCTTAAGATATATATGACAAGATTAGACTTAAGACTTAAATTAACAATTTTAGATTTAGTATTGGTAATGACCGATTATAGGTCAACTAAATTTTTTTTAAATTATCGTAAATATGGAAAATGATCCATTAGATGCCACGAAAACCTAAGTTGTAGGCGCTCTGCGCCTGCCTCTCGTACTTATTTTTTTTAATTTACGAAAGATGTCCCGCGTTTTTACCGCACGCTTTATTTAATTTCATTTTATTGGGAGAGATGACCTGGGAGGACTTGTCCCGTCTTTACCACGCTGTATTTAATTTTATTTGGGATAGATGGCCTGGGAGGACTTATCCCGTCTTTACCACGCTTTATTTAATTTTTTTATTAGGGAGAGATGACCTGGGAGGACTTGTTACCCAGGACTCTTTACCCATCAGAATTTGAATTCCTGGAATATAGTAGATTTTTTGCCAAATACAATTTTTGAAAAATCTGCAACTGTTACAATCGATTTCCACACTAAAGATGATTGTAACAGTGGTTGGGGTCAATTGTAACAAAAATAAAATGCAAGATAAATTTTTTTTTTCAGTTTTGGTACTAGAAATTTATAGAAGAATATTTTTACCTATATTATTGAAATGCACCATTTTACATATACCTACTTTAAAACAAAATATATATGAGTACGTTGAAAGGAGCCTCTTGTCGATTTCTTCACAAGCTTATTTCAATTTTGAGGTATAAATTTTACTGCTATCTTAAATCCTTCATAGTACGTTTTTGTATTATAATAATACCAGTACCACTCGACTTGGTCATTCAAAGGCTTAAACGTAGAATTACAAATATTAATAATTGTAAAATCCTCTTTAATAATATCTTACACATTTCTTAATAAAAACACTTTTTTTTGTCTTCGATGGAAAATATTATCAACAGATTGATGGCACTCTTATATGGGTACTACGATTTCTGCGATTTTTGCTAATACTGCGTAATGGATGAATTAGAAAGTGATTGTCTTAAAAAATTAAAAATTGAAGATAATTGTGAACCTATTTTTTACTCTAGATATGTTGATGACCCTATTTTATGTGTACATAAAGATCACATTAACCCTGTTATTGAGATTTTTAAATCTTATCACAATAAATTAAAATTTACTTATGAATAACACGTTAACAATTGAATAAATATTTATTTGTATCAAATAAAATTATTATTTGAGTCAATTAAATGATATTTGTTCCAAATACAAAAATTATTGGTTCAAATGCAATTAATTTAATTCAAATAAATATTTATTTGATAATAGTCAAGTAATCGAGTATTTGAATCAAAAAAATATTTTTTTTCAGTGTAGGTATAACATTTATACATTCGAAATATTAATCTGAAATTTCAGGAAATACCTATCTTTATAATTATGAAAATGTCCGAATATGAAGTAACATTAAACACAATAACAAAAAAATTTTGCGGTAACCATAAAATCACTAGCTGAATTTTGATTATTTAATTATAGCGGTATATACTTATCGCTGATGTGAATCAGTAAAATTTTGCTAATTCAGAAAAGTATTTTTGAAATAAAAAATATATTTTATATTTTAAATAAATATCTTTCTAAACGGTGTTATAAAGAATAGAAAGAAGGATAGAAATAAGAATACTTTTAAAGATCGATCATATATAGAACAAAAATATGAATAACCCTACAGCCTTCGTACTTTACACTATAACTTCAATTTGAATATTTGAGAGTTTCCACTGCAAAAGAATCTTTTCTGACTTCTCCACACTACTTCCTCTATTCGCTTATTCAATAAACTTTGAAAGTTTGTGGTATTGTACTTAAAGTTTGCTTTAAACTTCTAGATTATAATGGTGCAATTATAGATATATCACAGATAAATTTCCAAGTTCGTTCCTCATATTATTTAACAATAATTAAATAATTACTGAACAAAGCAATGAAAACACTTGAAATTTTTATATCTCTTTGAGAGTTGACTTAAATTGGAAATTCTTATAAGAACTTTATTTAAATATGTGTAAAAGAAACTTTTTTACTTAAATAAAATGGAATACCTGTATTATTAGAAAGTTGAACAAAAACAAATATAATTGTCGAGGGGGAATTTACTAGTTAAAAACGTGTACACTTGACTACCGGTATTACACCTCATATTACCCTCATTACTAAGTATTACACGTTATTACAGAGTATTACACATTATTACAGAGTTTTTTGCGTTATTACAGCACCGTAATAACGCATTATTACACGTTATTACACAAGTATTACAGGAAGAGTGTACACTTGACTACCTGAGTAAATTCCCCCTCGATAATTGTTTTATCAAAATAAAAATTGTACTTAGTGTAAACTTGCTACTATTTCTAATATTTCTAATATGTGTCTTAAAAATAAAAAATAATATACATTATATTCTCACCATGTTGAACAAAGAAAACCAAGAATCCGTTGATAAATATAATAAAAATGAGAACTGACATGTGCCCGGAGAGTGATAGTACAAGGTGACGGACGATTTTGAACTGATAGTTCTTTCTGTAGGGTTTGAAAGCATCGTGGATTCAACCCCCAAATCAAGCGCCGCCTTTTTCCTCAAAATCTGCATCGGCTTTACCATTCGTAAACGAAGTAGCGCAAGCGCTGCTTTTCTAACATTGCTATATCCAAGTTTGACTACACTTTCGTTAATTAATTAATTGAGGAGCAAGTTTTCAAAACCTGATAAATCCTTATTTTCTTATTTCGAGAAATTGAAACAAATGATTTTTCTTACATAACCATTACAGTTACTTTTAAAATAAAAAATTTATGATAGTAACATTGTTTCTATATGGGCGATATTCCACGTGAGATTTATAGTCGAGGTTTAAAATTCGGTTAAATATATTTTTTTCTTATTCTTCGTAGAAAAACATGAAATACGTATTTTTTATTTTTGAAAAATCAACTTTTAAGAAATTTATGAACAAAAATTTTTTTAAAATTATTAATGAAAAAAAAATTAATTTTTTATAAACAAATTAATTTTTTTTTATTTTGGGCACGATTAAATTTTTTTTTATGATTTATTCATGCCTGAAAATATACAGAATATTTTGCAAAAAGAGCAGGAATGGACCTGATGAGTTAAATAAGTTTAAATGAATTTTTAAAAATTGCGTGCAAGCTCCACGCGCGCTACGCTACACAGATGATAATATAGTTCTGCATAACGCCTTTGATATTGGTTTTTGAAAAAAAAAATTTTCAATTGTTTAAACAATTTTAATGATTTTAGTTCCTCATTACGAAATTAATGACATATTGAGAGAAATGTGCAATATTATTAGTCAAGGTAAACGACTAATACTTATACCTTAATTAACAAATACATAGTACATATAGTAAATTATTTTTTGCAACACTAACCTCTAAAGTTAAATTTTACACACCGAAAATTGTGTGTAAAGAAGCTCTTTTTCAAACGGTGTGTAAAGTGATTCACTTTACGCACTGAAATATTACTTTACACACTGAAATTCACTTTACGCACCGAAATTTCTCTCACATAATATAAGGATTGTTTTAGACCATTCAAAACCACAAAATTAAAAAACGAACTTTACTATTAAATTTATACACTCCTGCTTAATATTTTTCCTGATTTTGATTGATTTTTTTAATTCTATACAATCGAAATTATTCTAATAGAGTTGGAATTCTTCATAATAGGTACTTAACTTTAGAGGTGGGTGTTGCAAAAAATGTTGTATGATACACGTGCGTAAATCTGATTATACGAGTGTGACATTTGCCTCGTGCTGCAAATATCACACTCGTATAATCACTCACTTTACGCACTTGTATCATAAATAACTATTTATATACGGGGCAAAATTCCTGTAGCTAGCGTACTAAGTGAAAAAAAAGTTTAGCCTTATGAGTGAGGTTTTTAACTGAGAAGTATTGTTAAAATAATTTACAATGTCTGATAGCAACAATTTTGTAAATTTGTTAACTAACATTAGTTTCAACATTGCTAGTATTTACATTAAATAAAAATATGAGAGAAATAATTAAAAAATAAAGAAAAGAGCTGTAAAGAGACTGCGGGTAAAAATAAAAAAATATTTTGTTTATATAAAGTTGATATTAAAAATATAAAATTTATTTAATTAATTATTGATTTTTTTAAATATGAGCTTATTAGGAAGAGCAACCTCTCTACTATATATTTTTTTAAATATAACATTATCTTTAAAAAAACTTAAAGCAAACCCAAATCTGAAACATGTAAAAGCAGCGGATAAAACACAAAAAGATGAGAATTAATCAGTCAAATATTTTTAAGTGTTTTTTAAATTTTTTGTAATATTACTGTATGTAATATTACTGCAATATAATATAACAGTAATAATGATAATCTTCTTATAGAAAAAAAATGTTTACAGTTTTACCAATTTTACTCGCATATTTTGAACATGGAAAACGCTTGTTGATATGAAGTAAAAATAAATAGTGCTTTGCTAATTAAATGTGCTATTTTTTTGATCTAATTACATTGGTGAAATATCTGAATTTGTAATTAAATATAACTTTTTAGGTTAGGGATGTTTGTTTACTAATTTGAAATATTTTACTGTTGCGGTAATTACAAAATCAAAGAATCTACCAAAATGCAATTAAAACAAATATATGTGACCTGGACAGTTAAAAGGGGTTTTAAGTCCGAAAAAATCAATTTTTGTTGATTGGTGATTCTAATAGAAACAAATTTTTTCTATCAGAATCACCAATCAATAAAAAATTAATTTTTTCGAACATAAGGTCCTTTTAACTGTTCACGTCACATATAAGAAAGTTAATTATCAACACATGTTTAGGCCTGAGCAGAATAGAAACGTAACCGTAATCGCAATCGTAAACGGAAGAATGAGTTAGAGAAAGATATAGTCATATATTGTTGTTCTTCTCTTACTAATTCTTCCGTTTGCGATTGCGATTACAGGCGAACCTCTCATAAGACAACCTCTAATAAGACAAATTTCCCCTGTCGTGTTCCCCTTCCCTAAAACTTTAGATACATATTGCGTCATGCGCAGTTATGTCATGCGGTGCATATGGCTGACAATGTAAACAGAAAGAATTGTCAAAACCTATCAAAGCACAATAGCATAAACATTAGGCTAATTTTGGGTATGGACAAAATGCAAGAAAGAAATTTATGATTACATTCTGTAATTTCTACTATTTTTTATATTCATCTCTTTATTTCTTCTAACATAATTTCCAATAAACTCCAACATTATTTTGAAATAGACCGCCATGCGCAAACGGTCACTGCGCATCAATTTCTCCTCACGCGAAAAACCTGCTTTAGAGAATCCCCCACTAAAATTGTCTTATGAGAGGTTTCTCTGTTCGATTCCGGTTACATTTTCTGTTGTACTCACACCCGTGTGTTGTCATGGTAACCTGCAGGCAGCCAAAAAGGTGTGAGAGCGCCTTTATATTTATTCTCTTATTAATTTGAATTTTGCCGCTTATTTATCTGTCAAACTAATCTAGGGATTTATGTGATAATAATACTGTTACTAAACGTGGTCACATTGTCTGCGCATAACTCGTGACTAATTTCAATTGATAGTCTACAATTTTCTATTTTGACGTGATTTTGTATTAATAAACTTTCAAAGAAGTGAAAACACAATCAGTAGATATAACAACAGTCGGCGTGGCACGCCTTTAATTCAAATATTGTCAAATAATGGTAAAAAAAGTTTATTTTAAAAGCCATAACAAGTAAAATTAATCGTTTCGAAGTAGAACTTTAACATATTTAAATTTACTTATTTTAAAGTTATTTTCCAATTTTTAAACAATAATTTGCATCATCTTTTTGCAACAATCAATGTGGTGTTTTTCATTCTCATTATTGCTTGAAATAAGAAAACAAAAAAAATCTACGTGTTTTATCTATATAAACAATGATCATTTAGTCATCAGCTTTGTAAATAAATACTTTATATAATACTGTCGTTCATGTGGACATACAATATATAGCTCTTTACTTGAACTTGTATTTAATTTAAAAAAATTTACAACCTCATGATTGATAATTTTAATATTATAATGCAGAGAATGTTAACATGGAACATCAGTATTTTTGCAATACTGTTCTATTTGATGGAGGCAGATGGATTTTATGTTCCTGGTGTTGCTCCAGTCGAATTCAGAAAAGGCCAGAAAATCGAAGTAAAAGCTGTAAAAATGACAAGTACACATACACAATTACCTTATGAATATTATTCTCTTCCATTTTGTTGGCCAAAGAATGGGACTCTTAATTACAAATCTGAAAACTTGGGAGAGGTTCTTCGAGGCGACAGGTAATGTTTTATTTTTTTTTTTAATTTTCTTCATCAACAAATCAATAACCAAATTCTTTTATAAAACCAATAAATTTTTAATGCTATTTTCTTTTATATATTATATCTAGGTAATATAAATCTCACTAATATGTGTAGAATTTCCTAGTAGTACAAACGAATTTCAGAAAAAATTGCAAATTTTTCTAGGCTTTGATACATGTTATATGTAATTGAAAATTTAAAAAATACGGTAGTATCAGATAATATTCAAACTTTTATGTTTTTTAATATTATATTTAACAGAGAAGTATTTCGATTAAAAATTTACATGACTTGCGTCTTGTAAGTTAAAATATTTAAATATCTTTGAAGCTGTAAATAATTTTAATTGGAAAAAATCATCATTAAAATAAGTTTAAGAACTTTAAATTATTTAAAATTATTTTAAAAACTTTGAAAATTGAATAATTTTCTAAAATAAAACTTCTTTTCTGAGGTTTCATATTAATAAAATAAAATCAGATATTTTTCATTCATCTTATATTTCCTGACACATTAGCACCTATTATTTTTTGCAGAATTGTAAATACACCATATGAAGTAGCGATGAAAGAAGATATCCCCTGTCGTCTTCTTTGTCATCATCCAGGTAAACCGATGTTTTGGAACGAGGAAAATTCACAACGCGTTCTTGAACGAATTCAACATGAGTATTCAGTGCATTTGTTAGTAATTTTTTAAAGCTCAAGTCCAAGATTTTGTAATGAAAAGGTAATAGGATTTTACTTTGAACGAAATGTTTGAAATTATGATTTCTTCTACAGGCTAATTGATAATTTGCCAGCGGCAACAAAAAAAATGCATAAGGAGACGAATAACTGGATAGTGTATCACGGATATCGATTAGGTGGTATTGAAAATAATAATAATGGCGATAAAATATTTATCAATAATTATCTGGAGCTGAAACTGAGTTATCATAAACACGGAGAGTTTGTATAAAATTTCACTGAGCTAAAACTAAAATTTACTTATCGTTCTTTCCTAATTATAAAAATTGTATTTTTCTTTTAGAAATCAATTTAGGGTGGTAGGCTTTGAAGTAGCTGCGAAATCTGTCGATTATACACAAATCGAATTCAAGAACAACGTTTGTATTAAACCAATGGGACAACTGAAACGTCAGTATGTTAATCCTAGAGGAACAAATATTCAATTCTTTTATTCAGTAGAATGGAAAGAGTCTGATGTCAGTTGGGCAAGTAGATGGGATATATACCTTGGCATGAGAGATGTTGAAATTCATTGGTTTTCAATTATTAATTCATTAGTTGTCGTCTTTTTCCTTTCTGGTAATAATTCTTTGCTTAAGCATCGTTTTGTCTAATATTTCTTTTTTTAAATAACTTTTTATGTTTTAAAAAGGTATTCTAACAATGATTATGGTTAGAACATTGAGAAGAGATATCGCTAGATACAATTCTGGAGATAGTGACAGTCTCGCTGGTCTTGATGAAGCTATAGAAGAAACTGGCTGGAAACTTGTTCATGGTGATGTTTTCAGGCCACCAACAAACTCGCGTCTTTTTGCAGCAGTTATTGGAAGTGGAATTCAAATATTTTTTATGGCATTGATCACTATATGTAAGTACTAATTTAAAAATACAATACAATAAATGTAATTGTCTTTATGGGGACGTCTGATTTTTTTTTTTAAGGAGAAATAAAATACTTTTTATTTTTTTCTCGAAATCTGTGATTTGAAAGCGGCTTTTTCTACATTAAAATTTAAGTTTACAAGTATATGATGAAAATATGTTTTTTTAAATTTTTCGTTAATTTCTTCAGTTGAAGGATAGCGAAAGTTCACGAAGTTCTTTTGTATTAAGTTGTTATTTACATTCCTTAGATTAATTTTATGGAACAGAAAAAAATTTAGATAGGCTTTAATAGCATGAAACTGACTGTCCCCATTTACTCCGAGATTTAGAAAATTTCATAAAATTTGGGATAAATGGGGACAGCATAGTTTCTAAGAAAGGTTTAAGAAAAATGTTTACTTAAGTATATTACTGTATTAGGGGATGAAAAAACTTGAAAAAATTTGCAGTAGATGTATGATAGTTGAACCAATTGAATGGGATTGTATCATAAAAGTTGAAAAATCAACCATTTAAAAAGTAGTAATGTAAAAATATAATAACTTTAACAAATTTTAACGGATTTTCGTTAAATTTGTTAAAGAATGGTTTTTGGGGTCGCTGAATAGATATAGAGACAAACACGTTTTATTATATAATTTTACACTTTGAAAATAGTCTAGTAATCCAATAGGAACAAATTTGTTCAGTTATATTTTTAAAAATGTATTCCAAATTTTGTCCCCATTTACTCTGAGTTTTAAAATTCTCGGAGTAAATGGGGACAGTTTGTTATTATTTATGTATTAAATTGACAAAAATGAAAAATTCAAGTCAATTTTTATTATGGGAGTCATAAGGAATAAGGAAAAAAATTTGTATGATTGGTCTGTTTTCTTTGAAATGCTCGACAAAATACTGAAACAGATTCACTTTGATTTTCAAGTTTTTATGCATTGAGCAAGATAACAGCTTGGTAATACTCAGAAGCTCTTTTAAGTGATCTGAGGTTAAAATATTGACATCGAACTTAATTTTAAAACTATAAATTAAGCTCCAATACCTTTTGTCCCCATTTACCCTTACTGACCCTATCTACTTTTAAATGCCGCTTGATTTTTTTGTTTCAAATAATTTGGTCGTCCCTTAAAATAGTTAATAATGAAGTTATTCTTAAATTAATTATTTTATCTTTTTATTTGTATGTTTAGTTTTTGCCATGCTCGGAATGCTCTCTCCTGCGAGTAGAGGGTCTTTAGGAACATGTGCAATTTTCCTTTATGTCATGTGTGGCTTAGTTGCTGGATATTTCTCGGCTAGATTATATAAAACAATGCGGGGTAAAGAATGGAAAAGAGCAGCACTTTCGGTAAGTATTTTAAAAACAAAAGAAATCAAATTGTGAAATCATTTTTAAACAAAATTATTTTAAGTTTAATTTTACCCAATTTTATGTCCTTCTTTATTGACAACAAAAATAAAATCTAAGTTTCGATTACTTGTTTCGTCTTTATCACCGTGGTGTAATTTTTATAAATAGATCTAGTCTAACAATAATCGCTTTTATTTTTGTTGACAATAAAAAAGAAAGACATGAAATTGTTATATTATAATATGCTGTCATCCCAGGATCGAATTTAACATTCTTCAATTAAAATTAAAATTCACTTAAAAAATGAATATCATTTTAACTTTTGAAAAGTGTCTTTCTTAAGATAGAAATAAAAAATGTTAAAGTTTATTATCATTATTCTTTTCAGACTGCGACATTTTATCCCGGAATTGTATTTACAACTTGCTTTTTCCTCAACTTCTTTATTTGGGGTAAACACAGTTCAGGGGCTGTGCCATTTACGACGATGTTAGCTTTACTTTGTCTATGGTTTGGAATTTCTTTACCTTTGGTATATCTTGGGTATTTCTTTGGATACAGAAAACAGCCATTCACACATCCTGTACGGACGAATCAAATTCCAAGACAAGTCCCTGATCAATTATGGTATATGAATCCAATATTGTGGTAAGTTTCTGTTTCTCATTTTTATGTAATTTAATATTGATGACTAAATTACTATTTTTTTCTAGTACACTGATGGCGGGAATTTTGCCATTTGGAGCAGTGTTCATTGAACTGTTTTTCATTCTAACTGCTCTTTGGGAAAATCAATTTTATTACCTCTTTGGCTTTTTATTCCTCGTTTTTTGCATACTTGTCATATCCTGTTCTCAAATATCAATAGTCATGGTATATTTTCAACTTTGCGGAGAGGTAAAGTTTAAATTTCCATAAAAATTCTAACTGAATGTTAATTTAATGAAAATTTCTTAAAATATAAACTGGAACTGGAACTGAATCTGTGACATTGGTTTTGATTCGTAAAAAAATCGTTATTTCAGGACTACAGGTGGTGGTGGAGAACATTTGTAGTGAGTGGTGGATCTGCAGTGTACATTTTAGCCTATTCCATATTTTATTTCATGACAAAATTGGAAATCACAGAATTAGTTCCAACTTTATTGTACTTTGGATACACGGCGTTGATGGTTCTAACTTTCTGGCTTTTGACGGGAACGATTGGATTTTTTGCTGCTTATGCCTTTATTAGAAAAATATACGCCGCTGTAAAAATAGACTAGTCAAAAAATCTCCTCAACTGACAATGAGACTACAAGTATTTGTTATGTGTGAATGAACGAATGTGACCCTTACAGGCAAAATAATTTAAATACTTTAATAATTTTATAGACGAATCAATGATTGCCTTTAGAACCTTTACATCGTTTTTATAGCTTATCCAAAACTTGTGTTTGTATTATGTCAACTAATATTATTGTTTGTTAATTTTTGAAATTTATAACGAATGCATTCTATGCCGTACATTGTCACAGGAACAACTTCAAGTTTAGGATTAATTCATTATTTTTAAGAATTCAAACTATGACTTAATTTGAATTGATAAGAAAATTTAATAATTTTCAATGAATTTTGTTAGCTACCGAGATTTTGATTAACGATATAGAAATGTAAGCAGATCGTGTGCTTGATGCACGCATTTTGATATTGAAATCTAGTTGTATATTATAAGTATGGAGGAGACAATTGCCACCATTTTTCTAAGTTTCAAGCATATCATGATAAGAGTTGGTTTTATTTCGAGTTTAATAACATAAATTATTTGACAATTGATTAAAGTTGACCTTTATAAAATTTATAAAGTAATATTTATTACATACTTATATTTTGTTCTCTAATCTATTGATTCCATCCAAACCGAAATAACAAAAGAAAAAGAATAACATTTCAGTCATTCGTCTGTAGGTTAATAACTTTATCGTAGCTAGAATTTGAAAATATATTTTTTGAATGCTGTTTAATACTCTATTTTTCTGTACATGATTACTATTACAATCAAAAATAGAACGGAAGTAGTGGGTATTTTAGAGAAATCGTAATGGGGATCATTATTGGAAGAGTATTAATAAATGCATTCATACATAGCTCGTTGAAATAATTGTTAATGTTAAGAATAGGCATTGTAAATATGTACGTAAATAATTTAAGAATTTATTTACTTCAGCGTATTTTCTTTATATCTTTTTATTATTACTTTTACTATTTGTCAAATAAAACAATCAAATATTAATTGCTTTTTATTTTCGAAAATTTGTCTGTGTTATAAAATAGAACTTTACAAAATTTATTAACTTATGACCCTTTATTTCATTAAAATTTCATAAATTAGTAGAATGTTTTGCTTCTGAATGTGACGTTTCATATTGTGACTGTTGAAAAATTTTTTGGTGGCAAAAATAAAAGAACAGGAAAAAAGTTATCTACAAAAAATCAGGGGAAGAAAAGAGGAAAACTGAAAGGTAAAGAAAAAGGAAACAAGATCCTAAAATATATTATTATATGATCCTGTATTCAAAGTGAAAAGTCAGAAGAAGAACAAATATAAAAAAATAGGAAAAGAACTAGGCGCAATTGCGCCTACATCTAGGGTTTCGTGGCGCTTTAAATTTTAATTAAAAAAAAATTTTAAAAAAATGGCATTCGAAGAAAATCAAAAATTGGCAAAATCAAAATTCAAAAAGGTAAATGAAAGAAAAAAGAAAGAGTGGCTGTGGAGTGGAGGTCTTTCTTCTATCATTTATCTTTTTTGATTCACAAACAAAAACATTAGGTAAAATGTCCATTCGATAATGTCCACTATTAAGACATGTCAACTCTTGGACATGTCAACTATAGAGACATGTCAACTATTGGGACATGTCAACTACTGGGACATGTCAACTATATGGACATGTCTACTATTGGGACATGTCAACTATTGGGACATGTCAATTACTGAGACAGGTCAACTACTGGGACATGTCAATTATAGGGGCATGTTAACTAATGGGACATGTAATGTCCATTCATGTAATGTCCATTCGGGAAAATGTCCATTCAGTAAATGGAGATTTGGGATCTGTGGGGCCCCAAAATTTGAATTTGGGAGCTATGGTGCCCCAAAATTTGAATTTAGGATCTGTGGTGCCCCAAAATTCGAATTTGGAAGCTATGTTTGCCCAAAATTCGAATTTGGGATCTGTGGGGCCCAAAAATTCGAATTTGGGAGCTATGGTGCCACAAAATTCGAATTTGGGATCTCTGGTGCCCCCAAAATTCGAATTTGGGATCTGTGGTGCCCCAAAAGTTTAATTTGGGATCTGTGGGGCCCCAAAATTTGAATTTGGGATCTGTGGGCCCCCAAAATTCGAATTTGGGATCTGTGGTGCCCCAAAATTTTAATTTGGGATCTGTGCACTAAAATTTGATTTTGAGAGCTGTGGTGCCTCAAAATATACTACGGACAGACGGACGCCAAAGTGAAACTATAAGGCTTTCGGCCATGGGCCACGAAACCCTAAAAATCATGTTTAAAGAGTTATAATGACAACTGTTTAGTTTTTTGAAATGAACAATGTTTTATTTTTTAACGAGAAATTAAATTAAAAATAAATAATACAACATAAAGTTAATTAAATATTTTACGAAGATTTAAAATTATGATCACAGTTAATTAATTTAAAAATTTCTTACTGAAGTTAATTAAAAATACAAAAATATTACGATTTACTTTCGTCATGCTCAGATCAGCAGAATAGCTAATAAATGTTTACCTTTCACAATACTCTTCTAATCTGAAAAGTAGCAGTTTCAGAGCAGGCGTTGAAGAAAACTAGTTAAATTTTTTTTTTTTTTTTTTGTTTTATTCATTTTTAATGTTTTTCTTTATTCTTATCATTTAATTTATTGCATATGTTTTAAAATTTCTCAAGAGTGTCATTTGTGCAATATTCCAAAAGAAAATGTTAAATTACTATATATATTTAATTTAAACAATTTTATAGAAATGCTATAAATTATAGTTTATTTTTTGATCAATAAAAAATTGTTCATACAACTCAGAAGTTTGAGCAAAAATATTTTATAATATTAATTAATTTAGGTGACGCTTACGAAAAGTACTGCGATTTAGTGTAACAAAAAAGTAGATAACAATGGTGATAATTCCAAATATGTAAATATTAATAACAGTTGATTCCATTGGCATGTAACATTTCGATAAAGAATAATTATTAGGCGTAAACTCTCCCTAAAACAAACAAGTCAAGATTTTTTTATTAACTATTTAATGATTAGGATATAAAAGTTTTCAACTACTAACCAGTTTAAAAATAAAATATCCCTATGCTTTCAAATGTAAATGATAAAAATTCAAAATATAAATAAATAGAAAGTTTTAAACAATGCTAAATGTGTTATTCGACATGGTAATTTCAATTTTTCAAAATCATAATAAAAATATAAATTTTCTATTTTAAAATATACTAATAAGTATTATAAATAACAAAATATTTCTGTCTATAAAAGAAATGTATATTTGACGCCGCATACGAGAAAAGGGACCTATCCCCGAAAAAAACATTAGGCTTAGTTTGCCGTGTACAGTGCACGGAAAACTGAGTCTAATGTTATTTCGGGGATAGGTCCCTTTACTCGTGCGGCGTCACATATATTTATTTATTTTCATAAATTGACTTATTTTTCATTTTTTTTAAATTCGTGTTCTATAAATTTAACCTCATAGTATCCGGACAATTTAAGAAATCTTGATTGTATTGGTTGTTATATTAAAGTTTTGAACTTTAGTTTTCGGCAAGTATTTATTTTTATAAAGAATATATAAAAATACCTGACAGAAAAATGAGATTCAAATCTTTATTATTATTTTCAATTTATGGGCTAGTGATTTTTAGTTAAAAAAAATTATAACTGGTACTTTGATCGGAACCCTGAATTATTATGATACCTCTAAAAATATTTACTGGCTGTCTAATAAGTTCAGCTCTTTTTGTTCATTTTCCGATTTAAGATATTACATTTCTTTGTACAAATAAATTGTAAAATTATCTTACATTTTATAGATTTTGTACTTCTAGCCATTTCCTTACATTGTGTAAATTTCATAAAAATTTTATTAAGATTAGTATTTCTCAGTTTTTGGGATTTGTAGACACCATCTGGTTTTATATTTATTTTATGTTTCTTAAAAATAGTCTCCAAATAATTTTAAAAATAACTTTTATAATGCATTCATATGTTTCATTATTTACATACCATTAGAAATGAAGGATTATTTTTATTACGCCAACTAAAAGAAGGAATTGTAATTTCTACAATATTATTTTTATGAATATTTTTGCAGCCGTGATGAGTATGTCCATCCACTACTAATCTTGGATTTAAAATATCTAAAAGCTGTAACACACGTAAAAAAGTTATTTATGACACAAGTGTGAACTTCACACTTGTATAATCTGATTTACGCACGAGTGTCACAAAATTTCTTGTATCACTAAAGCACTTAAACTTGCAGCAAAAGTCTTCAAAGGTAAGAGTTCAAAAAGATTTATTTAAAAAAAAATGTATCAAATTTTAAGTTTGTAGCCCTCTAACCGTCCTCTTTAATTGAACAGCCACAACAACAGTAACTATGCATTGTTAGAAAAAGCGGAAAAATGATTTATTAAATAATAATAGAAATAATTGAAATAATATTTAAATTCTCTTAAATAAAAAGAAATTCAAACCTGTTTGGAAGCTTCTTCTGACAAACATTCCCATCTTTCTCGAAATTTAATATTCTTTATGTCTAAAGGAGCTTCGTCCAATTCATCACATATTTTATCAGATTCACGATACATTGGAAAATGTTGTAAAAGAATGGGTCTACTATAACGTTTTATCGAATTATTTTTTGTACAATTTTCTTCTAAACCTCTTGCACAATTCAAGTGTTCTGAAATTATAAGGATTTTTTTAAACTTTCTGCCCACAAAATATGTTCTTATATAAATTAAATAAATCAAGTAGATAAATAAATTGCTAAAGAATTGACAATTTTTGAAATATATTATAAAATTAAAAAATTATAGATATTACAAAGAAAAAAATTGGTCAAGTGCCAGTTACACTCGGTCACCTAATATAGTTCCGTTCACAATAAATTGATTTTAATTTTTATCTCCCTTGCTTCAGATACGTTTAATCCAAAAAAATGGGGAAGCGGGCAATTTTCATTAATTTTTATTTTTTCTTTTAAAATCCCAATGGGCACAAAACAAGGAAACGTAAGGAACTTTAAAAATTTTATTAAGTATAGAGAATAAAACTTGCTTGAAATTTTGTTTATTGCAATTTCAGTTGGTCGACAGAGAAAACATCCATCGCCTTCCAAAGCCATGCTGTTTATTAAAACAAAATGATTTCCTCTAATGCTAATTCTTCGAACACTGGGAGCTTTCATTCCACTTATAAAACGTTGACTTAGGTAGGGTGTTATCACTGTAATAAATTCAAGAAATAAACAAATTTTGTTATAAGTAAAAAAATTTCTCAAAAGTGATACATACCATAATGAAAGCCAACATCATGATTACCAGCTACCACATAAAGATGAATATTTTTTGAAACGCTGAAAATTGAATGAAATCTCTCGATATAACTTTCAAATCCTGTTGAACTGGACCAGAGGCCTTCATCGAATACATCACCTAAAATTCAACAAGAACTTCATTTAAGCAACAAATAAAATGAATTACATCATTAGCTTACAATCAACTAACCTAATAAAAAAACTACTTCTGGTTTATGGATTGTCATCGCCGTCTGGAAAGTTCTGTACATTTGCCATTCCCTATGCACAGATATTGCATTGATACTTAATGTTAATACACAACATTTAAATATATAAAAATTAAAATTAATTTTTAATTAAATAAAAACCGAGTTAGCACGTAAGAAATATCAAACAAAGTTCTTAGTTTTACAAATTACTTTCATTACCTAACTTTAGTTCCTCGAATACTCTAAACATATTGTCAATTAAACTTTTTCTATCAAGTACCAGCCAGTTTCCGCCTTGAATTATAATAATTATAATAATCAAATCTGCTAGGAATGATCAAAAACGCTTTTAGAAAGCTATATCATGAAATTATTGTTAGAGAAGACAAATTACACATCAGTAATCAAAGACGTTTGAGTGTTGTTAAAAAATTGAATTTTAAACTCTGTTATTTAAAAAAAACTTATAAATAACAAATCTAAATACAGCGAAAATATAGTTATTATTTTTATAGAAATAAATCGAACCTTCTTAGTTTATCAAACCAGTGACCATTTCGAGGTCCTAGCAAGTGTGTGTCTGCCAAAAACATCGCTCGTACAGATTTTTCTTCGAATGTTGGAGACACGATTGTCGGATCTAAATTTTCATGATTCAAGATTGGCCAATTACACTATAATCAGAAAGCATATCAACGTCTTCCATTAATAAAAATAATACTTTTTCAAATATACCAATGCAATACAGTTCTAATCCAAAAATATTTGCAATGTAAATTTAATTTTCAAATTTTTTCAAGATCAAAACATACTTTTGCTACATATAAGCGAATAAATTTTGTAAAATTGTAGATAAGACGATGAAAATTAAATTATTTTCATATCAGATAAATTTTAAAAAATATATTAATTAGGCCTCTTTTTGACGTTGTAGAGTGGTTTAACCCCATAACGCATAGAAAAAAATTGTACAGCATACTAACCTGCAAGAGAACAATATAATAAATAATGTACTCGCAAAACGTCAGCAATATTAAAACAGAAAATATAGCTACTAGAGCTAAATATTTGCAGGAATACTTCTTTGGTCTCATCGTTTTGTTTTTAAAAATAATAAATTAATTCATATTATTACGATATTCTCAGTAATTTAAATTAACATAATTTATAACCATTTTTCATATTTAATGTAATCATATTTATGAAAAATATGTAAATATTAATAATTCACTATCGCAAAAAAGAGTTTTTTAATTTTACAATATAGAACATTCTTTGGTATGACATTTATGTTTTTATTACAAAAAAATGTTGGTTGGTTTCGGTTAGTGGCCTTACAAAAAAAATGTGTTGTTTGTTTTTGTTTACAACGTGAGAAACTTAAATCCTAAAGGTGCGGCCACACTTTATAACGTAGCAATTAGCAGTGATGGGTTGTGACGCGTCACACGAAGTTTTGTACGTATAATACGTTTTCGACGTAATATACGTATAAAATGTATAAAACCATATAGAAAACCACTGACATTTTGACATCTATATATGATCCTCTGATTTTTGCCATAACGAATTTTTCTTATCATTCTATTTAAATTAAAGTTTTAGAATAAAATATAAATGGTCAGAAAAAGTAAAAGAAAATCGTTTAAAGAGGGTTTGCCCTGGGAAAGTGTAATGAATGATGTATTTTAATGAAGAATTTAAAATTGCCGCTCTTAAATCACGTGATCAAATGTAATATACATCGTGTAGAAAACTTGGCACGTAATATACGTAGTATTATACACGTAGAAAACCACGTATTATACGTCATGTATTATACGTACCCATCACTGGCAATTAGGTTCTGTCACTTGTGACGTAAGAGTCGATTCTAGGTGTGACGTCAGAGGCCAGGAGGGACAACAAACAGACGACACAATGTTATTCTTATGGGGAAGAAAATTAGTTTCCACTTTCATCAATTTTATTCATACTTTAAACATGGAAAACGCTTGTTGACATATAATAAAATTAAAATGTGTGTTGATAATTAATTTTGTTATATATTTGATTCAATTGCATTTAAAGATTCTCTCAATTCGTGATAATATATAAATTTTGAGGTTAGGGGTGTTTGTTTACTAACTTGAAATCTTTTACTGCTGCGGTAATTCCCACTTAAAATATATATTTTATATCTTTTTAATAACATGCATACTGGATATTGTTTAATAATGATGTTAAAATGTAAAATGTAATTAGTAAACAAACACCCCTAACCTCAAAATTTATATATTATCACGAATTGAGAGAATCTATAAATGCAATTGAATCAAATATATAACAAAATTAATTATCAACACACATTTTAATTTTATTATATGTCAACAAGCGTTTTCCATGTTTAAAGTATGAATAAAATTGATGAAAGTGGAAACTAATTTTCTTCCCCCTCTGACGTCACACCTAGAATCGACTCTGACGTCACAAGTGAGAGAGCCTAATAGTTTACATATCATCAATGAGAGAGAAAAAGATAGACTATCTATGTCCTTTTCTATCTCATGCCGCCTCTTTTTTGAATTTTGAAATATTTATTAAAGAAAAAAAGTAAAAATTTCTACAGTGAAATCGTGAAAAAAAATTTGTTCAGGTGAAGAAAATTTATTAAATTATTATTATTATTATTTATTAATTAAATTTATTTTGAATTTAGTTCTAAAAAGAAGAGGAAAATTCGAAAGTTTTATCCATAGAGATAATATAAATAGAGTGGAGATGGTCTGTATAGAGGCGTCCGTTTGATAGAAAGAGAACGCGATTTTAGCACCAGTAGGTGTCTCTCTTGCGCTGGTGCTTATTGAAGGACAGATACTGGTGTTAAATCTTTCTTCTCTTTCCGTTTAATGATATATTTAAATAATACAATTCTTATTTATTTGAAAATTTAACAATATAAGGTTAATTTATGTATTTCATATATATTATTTAACCAAAGTTTGGAATGTCTTTGCAGAAAATTTATTATAAAATTTTGGCAATATTGCTGTGCTGCGTAGAAAATTTTAAAATAATTTAAAAAATATATAAATTAGATCGAATATATCTATTTAATTAAATTTTATAAAATAGAATTTATTTTAAATCGAATTTTTTATATCAAAGTATTTATATTTAACCTAGTTTTAATTTAACACAATTTAATGCCAATTAAAAAATTCGGCCAAACCCCTGTTAAATAATTATTTGAAGGGTAGAATGACAAAAGGGGTCAAGCGCCAATTCACTGTTTTTACAGGAAGTAAAAAAAACATTTTTAAAAATTTTGCAGGTCATTTAAAAAAAAACTGAGAAAACCGTTTCGATATATTAGTATGTTTTAATAAATAAACAACAATTTGTTGAAATAAACCTACATATTAACGATAAAATTAAAAAAAACTGTGGTTCCTTGAGGTTATATCAACTGCGCACATTTTCTTTAACCATTAATTATAAAAAAAATATACAGTTTAAAGAAAAACTGGAAAATTAGTTTCTTTCTATGGAATCGACGAAATGAATAGAAAAAAAAATTCCTTTAAAAAATTGTTTGTTTTCAAGAAAATTACGAATTAATTGCTTGCTTTGGAATTGAGCAATACTTTCATCTTTAAATTCAATTGTTCACTTAGTATAACCATAAAAATATTTAAAAATTAATAACAAAATGATTTTAAAATTGTTTAAAATTGAAAATACATTATTATTATTATTAATTTTATTAATTAAAATATTATTAAAATAAAATTAAAATAAAATATTAAAATAAAACCTAAAAAAATAATATTTTTTTTTTATTTTGATAATATTATTGACTCATCACTTTCTTTTGTTTTTCAATCAGGTTGCAATAAAGTAAATTTGAGGCTATTTTATTAATTTAATTTTTATTAAAAACTGATTTAAATACGCAATAAAAAAGGAAATCCTTCTACAGAAATGTGTAAATGAATTTTCTTGATTTTTTTATGCAAAAACCTCATTTTCGATAAATTGGCGCTTGACCCCTTTTGTCATTCTACCCTTCATTTATCTATTGATAAATAAAAATTCGGTTAAATTAAAATATGCAAATATTATTTAGTTAAAATTCAAATTCACTGAACTAGAGAATTCGCAATTAAAAAAATTGGCCTTATATACACTATTTTAAAACTGAAATTTCCCAATAAATAAATGTAATGAAAAATTAATATAAAATGAAAAATTTGTTTAAATATGGTAATAAGTAATTAAATAATTATTGGACAGAAAAAAAGCAATAATTATTTATTGTTTTTGAAAGACTTTATTTGAGAATTTAAATTAAAAATTTAAATTTAAACAGTCTCATTTGGTCTTGATCCCTGAATGGGGCGATGTGCTTTCGACAAATAGTCAACGAATTCCTGATATGGTGGCTTTGATTGCAACATCAAAGTAACATAACCTATATATATATATACAGTAAGAAAAGTTCCATGGTAGTCACAGCCCATGAGTGCGAGTGAGACAAACTTATGCGTAACGCATGCTTTCCTATGACTACCATGGTACTTTTCTTACTGTATACACGTGGTACAAACCAATATGCTTTAAACAGTTTTAAACTTCAAAAAACAAGTTAAATTTAATTTTTGCAACACTAAGCTCTAAAGTTAAATTTTACACACCGAAAATTGTGTGTAAAGAAGCTCTTTTTCAAACGGTGTGTAAAGTGATTCACTTTACGCACTGAAATGCGTAAATGCGATTGTTTTAGATCATACAAAACCACAAAATTAAAAAACGAACTTTACTATTAAATTTATACACTCCTGCTTAATGATATTTTTCCTGATCTTCTATTGATTTTTTCAATTCTATACAATCGAAATTATTCTAATAGAGAGTTGGAATTCTTCATAATAGGTACTTAACTTTAGAGGTGGGTGTTGCAAAAAATGTTGTATGATACACGTGCGTAAATCTGATTATACTCGTGTAATTTGCTGCAAACGTCACACTCGTATAATCACTCACTTTACGCACTTGTATCATAAATAACTATATTGAAAAGAGTAATTAGTTAAATTTTCAATGTTCCTACTTTTTATTAACAAATTTTCGAAAGAAATATAATAATTATGAAAAAATTACTTACGTTAATCTTTCTTGTTTTATACAAAAGATATAGACAAGAAATAATGCACTTCCGGAATTAAGCTCTTCCTGTTGAGAAGTCAAAATATTTCAGCGGCAAAATTTCAAATGAACTTTTACTATTACAATTTTTTCTATATATGTTTATATTTATTAACCATGAAATTACGCGTTCATGTTAACCAAATAATTAGAATTGAATACACGTAGTTTTGATTAATTATAACTTCTATTAAAAAAGTATTTTTCATAATACCAGAGGGAAATTATTACCAATCAGAACAGTTTGCAGTTACAATACTAAAAATTAAAAAACTTATTTTCAGAAATTGCTTCTAACATTAACTTGAACTACTAGAGCTAATACAAAGGTTCCTCTTAGGGAAAAAAAGGAATTAAAAAATTTTTGAAAATGTTAATAAAATTAATAATATGGATTTTAAATATGTACATTTTACTAAACTGCATCAAAGGTCAAAAATTTCATTGGTTAGACAATTTTATAAAGAGTGTAAAACACGATAACAAAGAACATCAAGTGCTGATTCTTTTAGATCAGAAACAAAAATACCAATCACTAATAACAGAAATGATAATAAAACAATTTTCAAAAAAATTAAACGTCCAGCACATAAATTATGAAAACACAAATATATTTTTGATATTCAATTTTTGAGTATGTATAACAATTTTTTTTTTTGAATTTTTCAATATACGTATTAATGATTAAAAAACTAATCAACATTTTAATTTAATTTTTTTTCAAGACGATTATTGCATTAAAGACAAATTTGTTTAATTTTGTGTTTAGATTTTTTTCTAATTTGATTCAACTGGAATCGATAATAATTTTTTTTTAAAGTCTTGTGACAAACAAAAAAAGCTAATTATTTATAAATCAAATTTGTCTTTTTATACATATTAATGTTTCTTTTCAATTACTATAAAATATCATTATCATTTATTAAATTTTTCAATTTAATATAGTATATTAATATATTTATGTAGTATATTATATAGTATATTTAATATATATTTAAAAAAAAGCTTACAATTGTTTAGGTTTTTCTGTTCCATTTTTAATTTTCTCAGGGAAATTTTCACCATCATTAACATCATTATCATCATCAGTATAGATAATTCTTGGTCGTTTCTTTAATGCATTCAAATGAGATGGGAAATTTTCACCAACATTAACATCATTATCATCATCATCATTTTCAGTATATATAATTCTTCGTCGTTTCCTTAATGCATACAAATGAGATCTGCGAGTATTCTGTAAAAAAAAGAATACAGTAATTATTTTATTCAAATTAAAACAATAATTAAATTATTCAACGTACAATAGTTTTCGTTTCTTCTTCTTTGCTTTCGCCTGATTCAAATTTTAATTTTCGCGCGACTTTATTTTTAGCGTTTCGATCATCTGCTGAATTTAAAACATCTTTCTCTGTTTCATTAGTAGTTACAACTTTTTCCGGTGATTTCTATAAGTACAATATATTTTAATCATTAATAGGAACAAAAACTAAAATTAATGTTTCTTTTGTCTTTTGTTGTAAAATAAACTTTTGTTTGGGATAATTTTTTTTAGACCTAAATTTTGACTTTCTGTATAAAAAGAAAAAAAAGAAATAAAGGTAAAAAAGAGAATTGATCATAGATCGTTTACTAAGAAATATTTTTTTTCAAACGTATGTATTGAATAATCGTAATTTTTATTGAATTTTTAAACTCACCCGACATTTACTGGGACTACCAACCATTGAAGTTACAAATTTTTCCTTAGGATTGCCTGATTTAAAAACAGTATCTCCGTCTTTCGTTATAACTCGTTCATCGTCTTTGGAAAAAAAAAATCATTTTTATAATTACCATTTTATGATTTTTTTAAATGAAATAAATTAAAATTAAAAGAAAAAAAAATAGAAAAAGATAGATTTTAAAGAAAAAAATTAAATTATTGTAAATTCATCCTTTACAAAATATTAATTTAAATTAAAATAATTGATCCAGAAAAAAAATAAATATTTTTATTAATTAAAATTAAAAAAATGAATGAATGAATAATAATAATAATAAACATTTTTACCTCCTTTTAGTTTCAACCAAGTTGCACAGAACTCATCAATATTTACTGGACAACCGGTTCTGCATTGAGGCAAAAGTTCTTTAGGCACAACTAAAACAAAATAATTACTAATAATTAATAAATTATAAGTTAAAAAAAAAATAAAAATTCTAATTATTTTTTTTCCTTACCATGTTTTTTAATATTTATCTTTCCAACTAATTTATAAAATTGATAATCTGCAGTCTCGATAACAAAAGATGAAATTCTTTTTATAACTTGACTTGTGGTGAACTTCTTTTTCATTGGTTGGCCAGCCGTTCTGAAAGTTTTCTAAATTTTAATATTAACTAATAATATAATTTATTATATCTCTAATTGATAAATAAATATAGTCATTTAATAATAATTAATAAAAATTTTACTTCAACAAAGTTCCCTCGAAGGTGAGATAACATTTATTCCCATCAAATGTGACAAGTGGATTCCAATTTTTTAAGAGTTTTGGATTCTCCTGTGAACCAAATGAATCTTGATTCGAATTTTCTTCAATTTTCTCCTCTGAATTTTGATGAATTATTTGTGAATTCGTTGCTTTAATAGATTGATCTACTTTATGTTCACTGCTTGAAAAATAATTAAGAGATTTCCTGAAATTAGAGAAATTTACTATTTCTGTTTTAATAATTCTTGGCTTTTGATGTAATTTATGTTTATTTAAATCATTTGCTGGCAAATTTTGTTGTTGTACAGCATTAATGCATCGATTTTCCTTGATTTTTGTTTTAGAAAGATGTTCATTATCTGATGAAATTTTATTAATTTCATCATTGACACTTAAATGCACACCGGCATATATTTCACTTTCTGAATTTATTTCTTTCATTTCCTTGCTTTCAGAATTTTTATCAAATTTTCTCTTTAAATTAGATGGTTGATCATATTTTAATTTACTTTCATCTAATTCGTCAATTTTTATAGAAATATTATTTAAATATTCAATTGTTTTACTAACACGTTGAACATATTTTTTGGAAACTTTTTCATGTAATAAATTTTGTGTGATAATTGTAAGTTTCTCTGGGAAAATAAAATCTTTTAATTTTAGAGCATAATTTAATGCCGTGTACAAATTACCAGAATGTGAACGATTGTCAGTGACATTAAATTGATTTTGATTTTCATGTAAATTTTTATTTTCTTTTTCGCTAAATTGTTGGGAATCTCTATTTATTTGAATTGATTGATTTTTTTTCATTTTTATATTATTTCGATGATTTTCGACAATTTTTTTATTTCTCTCGTGTTGAAAATCAGAATTATAACTAGATGATTGTTGTGGTGTTGATTTCTCCATGAAATTTAATTCTTGAAATTTCTTCTCTGTTTTTTGCATTTGTTTATTATCTGTTATTTCACTATTGTGATTGATATCATTAACGTTCATTGGCCAGTGAAAATTTTCTTTGCTTCCTTGAGCAACGTAATTTTTCCATATTGCATGAACGTTACGCCAATCGTCAGGAAAACCGTTATAGAATTTTTGATAAATATATTTTGGTAATTCTGAAAAGAAATATATATTTTTTTTAAATGTTTCCTGAAAATTACATTTTTTTTTTTTAATTACTAAAATGAAAAATAAAAAAAATCACCATTCTTTTCGTCGATAATACATCCATGAAGATGATAAATGTGTTGATATTTTGATTTAAGTTTTTTTGATAACAACATTTCTGCAACTGGTTTACTCCGAGACCATATTTCACTAAAATAATAAATTAATTTAAAAAAAAATTTAATTTTCCAATATTAAATAATAAAAATTTATTTACTTATTGAGTGATCCTTTAATCAATAATTCTCCCCGATCATTGAGAAAGACTCTCCATTGATAAAAATGGCGTTCGACAATTTTCTCTTTTTCCATATCTGAATCGAAGGAAAAATGTTCCGAAAAATTTTTATATATGAATTACAATCTATGAGAATTTGTTTTTCTCGAGAAAAATAATTATTTTAGTTAGTTGATTGTCGATGAAATTTAACTCGTTCTTGTTGAGAATCAGCGGATACAAATCTTTTATTTTGAATCGTATAAAAAACTAGGTGATGGCATTAATTGCCTTATCGTTTGTATTTGTTTCAGAAAACTTTTTTTTACACGTCTTGACGTTGCTTTTGATACATGCGCACTGAAAAACTTTTGGTTCAGCAGCTGCCCCAAACAAAAAATTTCTACATTCAGTTAACTTCACTCATATAAAAACGCATGGCAAATATTAAGTATGAAGTTAATTGAATATAGAAATTTTCCGTAATTTAAATCTGATGGACCATCGAATTGTTTGTATATTTTAATTTGCAAATATATATATTAATTAATAGCGATAAGTATTATTCAATGTTGTATTCACAAATATACTTTCTTAATTTATATTTATAACAATATTATCTCGTTAATATTACATTTTGTTTTAAATTGAACATAATATAAAAATAATTTTAAAATGTACTTTTATTTAAAAATTACGGCGCATTTTTCATGGCACTTCCATGGAGTGGTCACACCTCGGCTGCAGGAGCAGTTGCCCATGGCAACCGTGTAAGAGTAAGAGAGATAGAAGATTTTCCATCTCTCTTACTCTTACATGGTTGCCATGGGCAACTGCTCCTGCAGGCGAGGTGTGACCGCTCCATAATGCCGGCAACTTTCTCAGTTGCACTTTTCCTATTAGTTAGAGAGAGATACGTATATTATACTGCACATGCGCTCTCATTCGAAAGTTAATTCCCTTTAGCGAACATGTCACTTATGGTACAGTGACCTTGACAGATGGAAAATACAGAGTTGAGTCTCCTTATTATTACTTCGTGAGTCAAAGTGGTCACGTATTTGACAACCTTTTAACCACTGAACTCTTATATATCTGGAATGCTGTCTGCCATTGATGGTCGCGAGCCGAGAGAGAGGGCTGATTTTTATTGTATTCCTCTCCTTCTCTTGCTAAACTGCGCAGGCGTAATACAATACGTTCCAAAAGTTTACTCTTAACTGTATTATGTCATGTTCACGTATACATACTGTTAAATATTTTCTAATGGACCTGTACCGACAAAGAGGGGAATACAAGAATCTTGTATAATACCCTCCGATCGTCGTGCTCATAGTGGTAAATTTTAGAATCAACTTCTTGAACAAAATGCGAGTCATTAGTTTAATACTCCCACCATTCCAGATTCTATTCACGACGGTGGTAAACAACAACAAATAGTTTGAATCATTTTTAAGATTAATAATAAGTGATTTTTAGTGTTTAATAATAACGATTGACTTTCCAATTTGTTTGGAAAGTGTTTTCTTGTTTACGGTAAATTAATATTTTTTCTCAGAAATTGTACTAACATTATAAATTTAAAATAAAAACTTTCCGTTATATTTCTAATATTATAGAAATGGTTTAAATTTCAATATAATAATTTATCATTTTATTTTTTGATTTTACTTTTGAGTAATTAATTGTTTAACATAGTTTATGCTAATATTAAATATAAAAATTTGTTGTAAACTTTTTATTCTGTTTTGAGGTTATAATAATTTTTGGCGGTTTACTTTTGAAGGATTTGAGGAGAACAAGTGAATTGAATATTATATAGCTCATAGTTTAGGTCATTTTGTAAAGCAGATGTTCCTTAAATTAGAAGCCCCAGACAGGAAAAACGTCAGTTTCTATAGTGAATTTAAAATTGATTAAAAAATTCTTGGCATTTTTAATCGTTTAACAATAACATTTAGAATACTTTTTGGAATTTCCTTTACTAAATAACTTTTCTTCAATGTCAGCTACTGAATTTACTTTTTTTAACAGTGTAATAAAAAAAATATTTAAAAATTTATAATCTTTTTTTAATACAGTATCGATTTTTATACTGAGTAGCGATTTACATTTGTTGCACACTTCTTTAGATTATTAGTCATTGTTATAATTTTTTAATGGTATTTATTATCTTTCAAATCATTAAGTATACATGTAGCAATTTTGTTTGGATATTATTCAAGATAAATGAGTTATATTTGGTATTTAAAAAATTCTTTTAACATATAAATAAGTATAATTTTTTATATAAAGCAATTAATTCTACTAATTTCAGATAAGACATTAAAATTTTAATAAGTTTAGTAGACTATTTATAAATTTAAAAATGCAAAACAATAAAAAACTTATAACACAACCACAATCAATATCAAGCAATGATTTGACGGCTCGAAATAAAAAATATATGTTATGGAAAAATCGTGAAAAGCCTGCTAAATATGACATGTCAAGTCAGAGAGTCAATACAAGTGAACAATCTACAAGTGTGCAGAATTCTCGTGAAAATAAGTCAGTTTTACAAGTGCAGTCTAAGTTAAATAAACCTGTAGATCGTACGGAAAAAAATGACAGTGCATCAATATCATCAACAAATAATACCGAAAGGGAAATTGCTGAAACGCTACATTTATTAAGAAAAGAAATTAGTCACTGGAAAGCACATGAAAGTTCAAAAAGTGGAATGGAAGGTAAATAATAATCTTAAAATCTTATATTTTTCGTATTTCACAAAATTTTACTTTATTAAACTATAGAATCTTTTATTTTTCGAAAAAATAACCAACCAACCATAATATTATTTTGGCGCGAATTTTAAAATTAACAAATAACAATATTTTTTTAATATGTATATACTTATTATGAGGGATTTTTTATTTAAATTAAAAAAACTATTTTATTGTATCAAATAAAGCAAATAATTACACTTTTTAGAATTGAATAATTTTGTCAAGAACATGCGATTGTTGTGATTATACATTTCAATATTCTCCGTAGGTTTCCTCACAAAATAAATTGATAAATTGAGCTAAAATTTTTTGGAGAACTCAAAAATAATATAACGAAATTTTTTTGCCATATTAAATTTTCCTCAAATATGTAATTTTTTAAAACTAAATTTTTTGGCAAAATATTAATACTCTGGCATATAACAACGATTTCTTATACTATTTTTAAGTTCACCACAAAATTTTAGATCAATCTATCAAGAATTTTGCAAAAAAACCTATGGAGAATATTTACATGTAAAATCACAACAATCACATAATCTTAAAAAGTATGGAAACTTGAAAATATCCCGAAAAGTAGGCATTTTCGTGAAAAATGTTCAACACAAAAGTTGTTTCCAACAAAAAGATCTACATTTTTTAACCCAAAATATTGGAGCCGGTACCCAACAGTGAAAAAAGAAGTATCTCGAAAATGCGTACATTTCGAGAGTACGCAATTGATATCCATTGATATATATCAATGCATTTATTTGGTTGAATTTTTTTAATTTTTAGTAATAAAAAATAATATTAATTAATGAAAATTAAAGTTAATAAAAGTGAATTATTGAATGTTAATTTGTGATTGAATTAAACAATTTCTTAATGAAAAATGATTTAAATTAATAGATTTAATGTGCGATGTTATGTATACCACCTTTATTTTGAGTCCTTTAAATTTCAATGATAGCAGGAAGTTATATTTTTTTTCTTGCATCTTTTGGGTCCTGAAAACATACAGAATGGTCAAGAAAACAAAATTTTTATTTTTATCCATTTTCGAAAAAATTAAAATTTTTGAAAATCCATACGAGTGATTCTAAAGTATCTTTAAAAAAGTGTGAAAAAAATTTGACAATAAAAAATACTTAAAATTGTGAAAGAAGATAGATATTTAAAATATTAATTTTTTTAAGACTTTAATTTCTAGAATGGTCAAAAATTAAAATTATATTTTTCTACCATCCTGTATGTTTTTAGGACCCAAATGATGCAAGAAAAAAAATATAACTTCCTGCTATCATTAAAATTTAAAGGACTCAAAATAAAGGAAGTGCCTCCCCTTAATTATTTTATCTTTTGTTTTTAGTTATTATCAAATTTAATTTTCACCACTAAGTGGTTTCCCTGTGTTTCAGTTCCCAGTATAATTATTTCTTTTAATTTTGTTAACAATAATTTGTTTAAAAAATGATACAATAAATTTTCTCCTTTACGTTTAATTAATTAGATTAAATATATGATTTCTGATACATAATAGAATTCAAGTTATTTTAATTGTAAGATAACAGTTTTAAAATTAAATTTGAAATCATGTAAATATCAATAACTGTAACTGCTTTTTGAGTTAAAGCTGCACCTTTATCAAAAAATCAAATTTAAATTTTACATTTTTTAACACGAAAATATAATTAATTTAAAAAATTAAACATTTCTAGAGTGTTTTTTTTATCTATACCTAATATAACTGAATTTTTGAAAACTATTTACTTTTTAACTTTGTTCTATACTGTTCCAAAAAATGCTGCACAAATAAAAAAATACTTGTTTTATAAAATTCACTTTTCTTTAACTGCAATATGTTTAAATAGTTTTTTTAAATCAAAAAGTTCGTGTTTCAATCAAGCAGGTTTACTCCTAATCAAAGAAATTTGATTCTTTAAAATTATAAAATTCTAGCTTCGTTATATGGTCAAATAAAAATTTTCTTTCAATTGAGCTCAAGGTGTCTTTGATTCAAAGAAATCCCATTTGATCCAAATAGGATGTCATTATATCAGTTTTGTTGACTCAAAGAAATATTTAATTAAAAAAAAATTTTTTTTTATTTTTTTGTGAAAATTGTTTAACAAACTGAAAGATCAAAATGTCCTCGGTTCAAACCCAGGATTTGTGAGTTCTTTTTTTATGAGATTTAAGTCTATATAAAAATATTTTCTTAGTTCACTGAATTCTTCATGCAACTTATTGCATCAGCCGAAATAGCTCAGTTGGGAGAGCGTTAGACTGAAGATCTAAATGTCCCCGGTTCAATCCCGGGTTTCGGCAATTTTTTTTCAAAAAATTTATTTATTTAAAATTATAATAATTTTTAAATGATGAGGCTTAATACGGTTATGCGGTTTTAAGTACAATTTATTTATTTTATTATTCCCAACTAGTTTCGAACAATACGTTGTTGTTAGGAATACATATTAATAATAACAACTAGTTGAAAATAATATAAATTGAAAAATTAAACATTTAGATATTTAAAATTAGGTAAATTTATTTTTGCAGATTCTAAAGGATTAATAATCAGCTCTGATGAACAAATATACAAGAAAAATTACGATGAAACAAATAATCAACAAGAGTGAGTAATTTTAATTTTAAAAAATTATTGCGCTTGTTAATTTTTTATTTAATAAAAGAAACTGTATTTCGGTTACTCGTATTTTTATGAAATTTCGATTTTAATTAAATAATCTCAGGCCTCGGATTGTACGACTTTTTCGGGATAGAATATAATCAGAACAATCAAAATGATAAATTTTGTGTTACTGAACAGTCTAAGTTATATTGATGAAGGACTGTGATGTGCAAGAATTGTAATATTTTGTTGAATTAATTATTATAAAATACTTGAAAATCGATAGAAAATACGAGCAATGATGTCACTCCTAACTTCAAATTTTCTAACGATTCATAAGTATTTTATAATAATGAATTCAACAAAATATCACAATTTTCGCACATCACACTCATCATCTTTTAGACTTTTACACAAAATATCAATTAAAAATTAAAATCAAGAACTAAAAAAAATCAACACAAAATTATTCGAAAAAAATTGATTGAAAAATTAACATTGCCATGATCACGTGACCTAACAATCACATGTTGTTAAGAGCAACTTAGAAAGCAAGAAGACTGAACAGCATAATCTGCACCCAGAGAAATGATTTATTTGAACCAAATAAAATATATTTGAGTTAAATAAACGTATATTTGTCTCAGAGCCTACTAACTTATTTATTTGGCGTAAATAAAAATTTTATTTGTCAGAAATAAATTTTTCTTTGGCTCAAATAAATTTTTTATTTCAATGAAATAAAATATATTTGCAACAAATAAATGAGTTAGTAGGCTCGGAGACAAATATATCATTTCTCTGAGTGTGATAAATACTCATAAAAAGAAACCTTAAATTTAAAGTTGTATTTTTTTAAAAAAAATCTTCGATAAATAAAATCGGTAATAGATTTTTTAAGAGATATTTATTTGTTGATTTCAGATGTTATTTTTTAAAAATAATTTAATTCATTTTTAAGACATCTAAAATGTGATCTTTAGGTATTGTAAGAAAACTTTTTTATCTATATAGATAAAAAAGTTCTGGTTAAAGTTACTAGATGCGTTTGGTTAAAAAATTTCTAGTTATTTTAACAAGAAAATATAGTTAAAAAGACTAAACAGTTCTAGTTAAATAAGTATGGTTAAATTATTCTGGTTAAAATAATTCTGGTTAAAAACGCGCGTTCGCGGACACTGCATAGCGTCTGTTGTTCTTTTTCGAATAGTTTATCGTGCGGATCGCAAGAATGGATGAAAAAGTTAACCAAGCTCTGGAAAATTGGGGTTTGGGAGAATTAAAAGATCTGTTTAAAGGTTGGTTATATAATTAATTTTATAATATAAGTGAAAAAATTGTTGACGAACGGCAAACCCGTGTAGAAAATAGTTTGAAGGTTATGTTGAAAACGTGCTCGACACGTTTTATCAGAATTTTAATTCTGAATAATCATATTTAAATAAACATTATTAAGAGAATTGCAGTGTAAAGGTGTTATTGTTTGATTGCATTTATATGTACATAATACAAATTTTTTTAATTCATATTTTATAATATTTTATAATATAATATAATAATAATAAATTTAATTAATTCTCTGATTAACTAGAATTTCTGGTAAGATAAACCAGAAATTTTTTTACCAAAAATTTTTAACTAGAAAAATTCTAGTAAGATTAACTTGAAATTCTAGTAAGATTAACTTGAAATTCTGGTAAAATTAACCAGAATTTTTTAACCAAATTTTCTAGTACTTTTAACCAGAAAAAGTAGTAAGGGTATATATAACTTTTTATTCTGGTTAGATTAACCAGAATTCTGGTTATTTTAACCAGACTTTTTTTTCAGTGTAATGTTTTCTATGCAATAGGAAAAAAAATCATTTCAATATTTTTTCATGTAAAAATATTGCTTTTTTCAACTTAAAAAATAAATTCTATGTTTTAGTAGTACATTCCTTTGTTATTTAAGTTGAAACTTTTCCAAATATCCAAATTGACTTTTTCGATGATTTTTAATCGACTAAATCGTCTGTTTTAAACTAAAAGTCGATCCGAGGCCTGTAATCTATTTCACGAATTTTGTATTATAAATTGATTCTACAAAACTTAATTAACAATTTATAATAATTTTTAAATATTTTAAATAATTTTATTGCTGTCCCATTACGCCCTGAGTAGTATTCCGATAATGGAACACTTGCACTAGGGGAGACCGGGGCTGTTTGGCGCACTTGAGTTTATTCAAAAGTGTTAAGTTACATTAATTTTTCTGTTTATTCTGCTTAAAGTACTTGATGAACTGTAAGTTTGTACAAAATTTCATTAATATTCATTAATTATTGTGGAGTATAGATTAAAATAACTGATTTTGGCACTCCAAAGTAATTTTTTAACATTTGTTATTAAGAAACAAAAAAAATTTTTTGACTTATATTAACAGTTTTTATAAAAAATTAATAAATATTTCAAAAGTACATTCGGGGTTAGGTGGCGCGGTTATCTGAAAATTTCGTTAAATATTCATAAAATAAAGTTGATTATATGAAATTTACACATTAATAAGCACCAATAACAATCCTATTCAAAAAATTAAACCCAATAATGGTTTTTAAATGTTCACAGCGTTATTATAAAAAAAAAATATATTTTTTGGTAATTTTACGATTTCATTTAATTTAAATGAAATTTTCTAATTTTTAAATTTAAAATAATTTTATTGTAAAATTGCAGTACAAGACTTATTTTGTTAAGTCTTATATTATAATATTTAAACTTTAAATCATATAATTTAATTAATTTCAAATTGCTTCAAATAAAGTGGTATAAAAATAAAAGTATTAAATGTATTTCAACTTTATTTTTTTTTAATTAAAGCTGATATGTTACAACAAGTTTTCTATACATTAATTTTTTAAAAAAAAGCAAAAATGAGTGAGTTACACAACAAAGAGTAAAAAGTGCGCCAAGTAACCCCGGTCTCCCCTACTACAGAAAAACTGCTCTATAAAGTATAATAATACTTTTTAATACAAATTTAAAATTTAAAAATTAAATGTTCCAAAATTTCATTTAAGCGAGATATTAAAAAAATTCGACTTCATCCCGTACATTTCTTATGTTTGTTTGTGCACCGCTTAATCGCCATTTTGGATTTCCCCCCACCCAACTTTAACAACCTAATGAGCTGCGTCGCGACATGATATTCGGCTGGCGCGTAGTTCAAAATTCGAATTAAAACTTTCAAATGATTAGTAAATTAACAATTTTAATTGATTATTATACTTTATATGATAAATAATACGATAGAAACAGTTTTTTAAAATACGGCTTAAGGGGCACTCGCAGTTGTAGCGCCAAAAAATAGACATTTTTCATGAATTTTTTCTCGTAAACCATTAAATTTTTTCAAAGTATCGATTTATTGTCTACACTGAAAAAAAAATTTATTTTGATCAAATAAAAAGTATTTGATCCAAATACATCATTTACTTGTCTATTATCCAATAAATATGTATTTGAACCAAATACACATTTACTAAACCTAAGTATTTTATTTTATCGTATCAAATAAATAGTTATTTGAATCAAATACAAAGTATTCAAATCAAATAAATGGAATATTCAAAACAAATAAATAATTATTTGAATCAATTATGAAAATTATTCCATTCAAATAAATATTTACTAGACATAAGTATTTTATTTTATCGTATCAAATAAATAGTTATTTGAATCAAATACAAAATATTCAAATCAAGTAAATGGAATATTCAAAGCTAATAAATAATTATTTGAATCAATTATGAAAATTATTTCATTCAATACTGCATGTTTTTTGATTTATTTGCATAAAATTTAAGAATTTTTTGATTCAAATAAATCAAAATTTTAATTGAATAAATAACACATTTATTTACTAATTCTTCCACACCCAGAGAAATGTTTTATTTGAATTAAATAAAATATATTTGACTTAAATAAAAATGGATATTTGTCTCAGAGCCTACTAAAGTTTTCTTTGTCTCAAATAAATTTTTATATTTAAATTTGAGTCAAATAAATTTTTATTTGCTACAAATATATTTTATATTTAGGACAAATAAATAAAAAGTTTTGAATGTAATATATTTAATTGCAATATTGCCTGGTATTCAGCCAAATATTCTGGAATTGATATATGTAATTAAAATTTATGATTCAAATTGAAAATCTTAAATTTTTACATTTCGTGGTTATTTTTTTGTATGTTCCGTGGATATTGTTGAAACATAACAATTTCCATTTCTCTGTGTCAATGATAAGTTGATTTGAATTCTGCTTCACATTTGAGACACAACAGGGAGAAAGGCACTCAAAATAAAAGGAAAGTGTGATTTAATTAATAAACACTCGCGAATAAAAACATTTCTTTAATTATCCTGAAATTAGTATTTGTTTTAATCAAATACTAATCAATCCTTGTACAAACAACTGCTTGGTCGCGTTAATCTGTCACCTCGTTTTCACTACGTCCGACATCTTTAAAGTTATATCGTATACAGTATTCTGCGCATGCTTGCGTTCAACTCGAATAAACTTTTATTTGAATTAAATATATTATTTATTTGCCACAAATGTACCTCTTTAAAAAGTACTAATAAAATTGTTTATTTGTAAGAAACATATACGACAATTTCAAGCAAACATTTATTTATTTAATTTAAATAAAATATTTATTTGAAATAAATAAAAATGATTTAAATATACGTTTTTATTCAAAACTAATAAATTTTTTCTCTGGGTGCATTTCTAAATTAAATTCTTACTCAAATAAATAAATTAAAAAATATGTAATTTCTACATACTATGATCGGATATTTTCATTTTTCAACTAATTCATACATAGAATTAATGATTAAACGCAAACCTGAGAAATAAATAAATCTAACGCATGGGGGGAATCGAACCTACGACCTACGGACTATGAGTCTAACGCTTTACTAACTATACGTTACGCACGCTATGTGAAAACGAATGTTA